CAAGTAGAATCCCAGCACGAACTCAAGAACGTCTGAGCAACAAGAGCAGAAAGGTTAGAGAATTTGTTTACGAATGTATCTGTTCGATTACACCTCGGTAAAACGTTCTGAGAAACTTCGTAGAGTATAATCAAGTTAAAATCTCGAACTAAACGATATTCTCTCGTTATATTCTTGTAACAGAGTTATGTGTCTTTACAAGAATGAAACCCATGAGGCGAATTATTGTACATTTAAGCTGAAAGAAACTAATGTATGTTGACCCCAGCAAAACAATTCTTGGCTTGCACTGTCATGTAATCCTGATGCAATAAAAAGATTATTCGAAAACCATTTAGTGGATAAAGTCAAGAAATTGTGATGTTATAGGAGATTAATAAAGATGACATTTTTCTAATTTTTAAGTCTGTGCGTTTTCTCAAACTTCAGATATTCGTCGAAATATTTTGCACAAATTTAGAGAGCCCAGTATGGAGCCGCCATGTACCTCCGTGGTAAACCAACATTGCGGCCGGAAAATAGTGTAAACATCTGGAACTTACTTTAGCAATCTAGGCGACTGATTATCTGTATTGAGCAAACAAGCACTTACATAAGCACTTTTCCTAATACTTTAACTTCTGAATGGGGTAATAATCACTTCAAATGCAGAACATTTAGCTCGATTGCAATATAGCTAGTGCTTCTCAGTATAACGACTGCCTGGGTACACGCAGCAAGCGTCTAGTTTGCATTTTGCTTTGAAATAAAAGGATATTTTGCCAAAAAAGCTACCCAGTAGCTTTTGTCATGCCGTAACCTATCTACCATAAAAATATGAGCAAAATCAAATTTTTGACCCTTGCCGAGTTATTTTTCATATTGATTTTATAGACAGGGACTCTTAATATATTGTTCTTGTGTATTGTTCCATTGTCAGTTCATTTCTGAATGGCTACGGATGCAACTAATTAGAAATCAAATTTATCCAATTTAAACAAGGAGAAGGTCCACGGGTTCCCACCTTGACGCGATCTAAATTTTAATAGATATCTGCATCTTGTACATTTAGGTAAGATGGGGATTATTCTCATTGCCGTCTTGGTGCCACTTGTCAGTCTGCTGGTCACCGCTGGAGTTGCAGCTTGGTGCATGTACAGGAAGAGGAAGTGTAAAAGGAGGGAAACTAAGGGTGAGTGTTTTGTATTGTTAGCCTCACTTATGGCCACTTTGTTAAGGTAAACCCGCAGATGTCATCTGCCCAAACGATAGAATCTTAATTAACGACAGAGAAATGATCAGCTAAATGAGCGCGAAGAAAATGAATGCCCAAACACAAAGCAACCAAACAAACAAATTGTCATAAGTGCAGCCTTGAATAGAGATTGGGCTGTGCAAGGGACGGTGAATCGCAGTGACCTTCTTGGGGGAATTTCCTTGGCCAATTGAACTGGAAAATCTACAAATCTTAATGAAATACTGGAAAAGTCAAGTCAGTTTTTGTCATCAGAGCAGCCCTGTGAGCCAAAAAGCTTGGATGTTGCCTTCAATATTGCAGGAAAAAATACTCTCGGAAAACTTGTGGTTGTAGTCAACACTGGTAGCCATTCGATTCGAGTTTTGAATGAAAGGAACGTAAGTGACAGTGGAAATTTGTGTCCTCTGTGGTTGGTGTTGCTCAAATCAGTTTGGTATAGTGGTGGAGACACCTTATAGCTGCGATACAGTTGGCTGTGAGCTGTAGTAGGCTATACTTTGCTCGTCGCTGTGCCATGAAACAGACTCGAACATTCACGTCGGAAAGCAAGGTTATGTGTTTGTTTTAAATGATTTTAAGAAGTGATGTTTTGATGTTTCATTCCTGACGTCAATCTGTGTCAACAATTTTTTTGAGACTGAGAAAAGTTGAATTTTTTAAATAAATTAATCTCATAAACAATTTGTTTATTGGTTTGGTAAAATTCAAGAGAAGTAATGGTTTCTTACCTTAAAGTAATTTCAAGACCAATTTTGTGTTTAGTTTAGTCTCACTCAACTGCCGACTGAGACTGCTCGAGTATTTTTCTGAGTTATTTTCGAAAAGCAAAATGGCTTTTACTTCCTTTTTCCTGCTTCTCGTACCTGTTTAATGCCTTGAAAAGACTTTTTTGTACCTTATCTCTCACCCAGTCACGTAAAATATTACCTTAATTCTCAAAACTTTCTGCCATTTTAAAACACAGAGATAAAAACTTTGAAACGATGACGTCAATCGTGCGTCTGTCCTCTAATAGATCATAGGTTTGAACCAATCAAAATGCAAGAATAACTTGGGTTATTATATAAATATATATATTTTGTTTTTTTGTAACTTTCAAAGTTTAGTTTTGCAAGTGAAGAGGTAAGTTTACCGTCAGTCGTCTTCACCTTGGCTAGTAGAGACTTTAAGCAACTCAACACCTGCTGCTGCTCAACACCTGCTGCGTGCGCTGGAGACTGCGTCGAGGTGGACGTCTTTTGGCAGGAAAAACAACGCTAAGCAAACTTGAAGATGACACTTTTTCACAAAGGTCTTTGCTTTTCCAGTTAAGTATGGCGTCTCTTATGGCTACCTGAGAAATTTTATTGTTCACGTACTGTGAAGAATGGTTGGATGACATGGAATTTGTGGTCTTAAGAGCATGTCTACCAGAGGAGCAGGCAGAGGTGATACATGCCATCTCACCGATTTCAGTGAAACTTGGCTAGTTAGAAGGGCATGCCCAATAACTCGAAAAGCCAAAACAGTTTCACAATTGCAATTTTCTGGGGGGAGTTACATCACACCCCTACATTTTTTACATAAATTCCTATAAATACTACGCTAAATAAGGGTAAAAGTAAGGGGCTCGTGAACCTGAGCAATTCATCCAATTCAATTTTGGCTGCACATGAGTGTAGATACGTCCTTCATGAGTTATATATGGGAGTTTCACATAATTTGATTACCTGTCAATCAGTGTAAGTTAATAACTACCCATGTAAAATGGCAGAGCAAACTCTGGTGATTTTCAGGCCAAGTATCTCCTGTGGCCAAGTCCCTTCCAAAGAGAAAGCTATATCATGGTTTAGTTCCACCTTTGGCCTGTACGAATTATTAAAAAAAAAATTGGTACCTGCTATTTTTTGTTCACAGATCAAGCTCAAACCCTGCACATCTTGCACAAGATTTTAATTTAATGACTAACATCATAAAAGTTCCTGTGTAAACTGCACCCACAGATAAGCCAAAACTTCAAGATGGAAGTTCAAATATTGAAAAGTAACATAACGACAATAAAGTTTGAAGTTCTTGTGAAGTTCTAATTTGTATAAAAACAACGATAAACAAGTGTGGTATTCATAGGTTTTTAGATAACAAAGTTTCACTTGTTATACCCTCTCATCTTCCAAATTCACTCTTCGTAAACTTGAGATTGATTACATTATCGCTTCGCCGGAACACTCCATGACATTGAAATTCGTATGCCATGTTGAAACGATAAGAATTAGTGCTTAGTAGCCAAGCTTTGAAATGTGGAGAGGAGTCTGGGCATCACAACACACAAGAGAGCACCTATTTACTTTAGAGGGATACTTCGTACTATCAAGTTCTTTGGAAAACTACAGCAGGAGAAAAACTTGACACAGATGGAGAGTTGTATAATTCAATGGATAAATTTTGCTGCAAATGTGATAGTAGTCGCAGCTAAAAGAACTAATAATTATAATTATTTACAATGCTAATAATTTAATCAAAAAGGATCAACAGTACAATAATACTCAAATATTAAACATTTTCTAACGCTATGCCAACAGTATTAATACCACTAAAATTACTTACAATAGAGATAACAAAATAATTAAATTGGCTCAACAATAATCACAATACTCTTTTTTGCTATTTGCAATATTAACAAAGTTAGAGGTTTTACCTACATGTACATATTATTTCTGTACTGACATTCAGGTAGATGATTTGAAAATAATTACGCAAATTTCCGCCAAAATTATTTACAAAGGGGTACTAGAAGCTAGCATGAGAGATGATTTGTTGCTCATAGTAATTTTCTTGCAAAAAATTCTAAGGGATTCATGTGAGGAGTGAGTCATGCATTTATTTCAATATGGCATTGATAACTGTGCGGTAGACTAGTGTATTGATTTGTGGGCTTCCAGAAGCCTGAGACCACGTCCCTCTAAAACCCTGATCATCTCTATATAGGTGAATTGTAGCTTCTTTGCCTTGCCCACTCAGATATCCCCGCACCGAAAGTATTTTGAGCAGACTAACACGAGTATTGATGGTTGGGTCCCTGGTGTATGGCGTGACCAGCTTTTGAGCCTCCTTGTTGATCATTAAACAAACAGCTCCAGCTGCTTATTCATAACTTATGTATTTGAAAGTGAAATGGGAAAAAAGGACATGGCCCAAAAAAAACTGGGAAACAGACTAATACGTAGAAAATGGAAGCATTGATATTTATAATTTCAGGAAAAGTTGTATTCATAACAGTTCAGTGTCACTACAATTCCAACTTGCGCCGGATCTGTTGCCTTGTTCAGATGGCAGTGGCCTCTGTTGTCAAAACATCGTCTTCATATTCATCTTCATCATCATCGTCATCTGTATGGAGAAATGCTGCAACGGTATCACGAGGCAGTCTACCACTTTTATTGAGGGTTTGTAGGTCTGAGATAGCGGGAAATCTGCACAGTGGTCAACCACTATTTTTTTCTGGGATCTCTTTTCCTCGCTGCTGTCCCGCAACCCCTTCATGTGCGTTGCTCCATCTCCCGGGTTAGCCTTGTCGCCTGTCTCTTCCCCCAGCAGGAACACCTCCCGTAAATAGTTTCTCACATTTTCAGAGAGGTTTACGGCATTTCTGACCTTTTTGAGGGCCCATCCTTCCTCTGAAAAGGTGCTGTGCCTGCAGCCAAGGTGGAAGGCACAGATTGAAGATTTCCACCAGCCAAGGATTAACAGGTTTCTGCCCATTTGCACTTGACCTGGTCATATTGAGTCTCGTGTTCAAGTCTTATAAGGTGCTTCCTCACATCGAGATGCCTCTTCATAGCAGCAAATGAGTGGTACACTTTGATGCATCCTTCCTTGGGGCAAGCGAATGGGACCGTGTCTTCATCTTCTTCCTCTTCACACTGGGTGGCGGGATATGGCCGACACAGGCTGGGTTCCACAGGTCTTCCAAATGGTAATACAATGGTAAGATTTGTTGCTCCCTGTGGAGTACCCAACCGTGCCAGCATAGCTGAGGTGGAGAATTTTCCAGGTCCAATGTTGTACACGCGCCATGCCTTCAGTCCTCCTCCCTCGTAGAAAAAGTTGTTCAGGGACTGTGCACCTGTCATAGTGTGTTTGTGCATCATCTGCAAAGAAGTTTGTACCATACAAACCGACACATAGCACCCCTTAACGCAGACATGAGACTCAATAGCTGCCTTCATAGAAGCTGCCATTTCCACTTCGTTTCCCTCGTTCACAAATCGCCTAATGTGACTCTTTATTGAGGCGATCTGACGGTCACATATATCTTTTACTGCCTAAGGCTCACTAAAGTCATAGCATGCTACTCTAACTCTGCTGCACTCCCCGAGGCTTGGTAAGGAGAGCAGCAGGAAAGTGGTGTGATGACACCCAGCATTATCCGACTTCAGAAAGGCTTCTGCAAGGTGGGGCTTTAGTCCCTACAGAGTTGATGCCACAGCAAACCAATTCTGGTTACAGTCATCAAAGACGTGAATAAAGGTCCTTGTCTGCAATTTATTGCAAAAGAGCAACTCATCATCTCCACCAAGCATGACTCTGTTGCACTGTCGTGATCGTGTAGTTATCACCAGAGCGATTTTCAGGCCTGGGCATTTGATCGGATTAGCTTATCGTCCAAAGGTTTTATGAGAAGCAAACAAGACAGACTGGAGCACCCTACCTCACCCAGCATTTATTCGAGTAAATAATTTGAGACGAGTACCTGAGCTTCACTGCCAGTTTCATCTTTCGTGATTGCTACCATCACATGCCAGGATTTCCCTTTTTTCCCAAGCCGGTCTCTTTGGGTCTCTCTGAAACTGATGGGAAGGAACTTCATTGTCCAGTCCATGATTAGTAGAACTTGACTGGCTGATAGATGATCGATTACGAAGGATTTGGCTGCATCTTGGTGGACAGCTCGGACA